CAAATCAAGCATTCCTACATGGCCCCCCTCTCTCTCTCTCTCCGCGCAGGTTTTTCATCCAGTCTATTTATTTTTTCTCTCTTTCCCCTTAAAGATGCTATGTTTCTGGAACTAATTTAATCAAGAGTACTGCAAATGCTTTCATAGTCAGCATCTGGCAACCTTCAGAGGCCTCCACCAAATTGGGTTCACAGGGATGCAAGAAGTCTAAAGCTTCCCACTCTTCCTTTCCCATCCAGTTCACAACCACATATCAATCCATGTGCCTTCCATGGGTCCCGCAGAAGGTTAGCAATAAAAGCCCAGCACAGGGCTCAAATGCAGTCAAAGACTTGTGCAAAAAACAGCCACCTTTGCTTAAAGAAAAAAAAAAAAACTGATTCAAAATCAAAAACAAAATCCTTCATCCTTCTGGAGCAGAGCACTGGATTCACAGAAACCAAATCTGGGTTTTCCAAAGAGCCTAAAAGCATTAGGACCCTGATTCTGGACCACTGAAATCAAGAGGAGTTTCATTAATGGCTTTGGTGGGAGCAGGATTAAGCCTTAGGTGGACAAGTGCCATTGAAATTCAAATTTGGGTGTTTAGCTCTACTTCAGTTTCTTTGAAAACCCCAGAGTAAGTGCATAATAAGAAACTGAGGGGAGAGTTTTAAAATGATACATAAAGGCAGAAAAGAAAAAAAGAAAGAGAAAAAGAAAAGAAGGGGAGCTACCCCAGACAACCCTATAAAGGAACTTCATTAGAGAGGACCTGGTTTTATCAGGGCAACCCTGTTCACACATATATACACAAGATGTAACCCAGGAAATAGTCAGCTCCATAGATAAGGTGCTTGGCTGTCCCTCCCTGCCCCCCCCCCCCCCCCCCCCCCCCCCACTTTTTTTTCTATTACAGCTTTGGTTAAAAAAGAAAAAAGAAAGAGAAAGAAATGGGGGGTGCAAATAAAAGAAACCCCATAACGTAATTGCTATATTAAAAAGAAATGGCAGGCGAGAATAATAAGGGAGGTGTCAGAAGTGAAATACAGTAGCAGACATTAAAAAAAAAAAAAAAAAAGACTACAGTTCTGTGATGGGGGTGTTAATTGAACGCAAAGAGAAAGGCAGAGCTAGCGAGAACAAAGGGAAGTTAAGGAAGCAAAAAAAAAAAAAAAATTCCTACCTCCTCCAAAGATCTGATTTGAGTTAACTTTGCTGAAGATAATGTATAGGGGAAGGTGGTTAAAAAAAGTGCCTCATATACCTATTATGTTCTAAAATTAAAAAAACAAAACCATTATTCAACAACAATTGCAGGGCTAATCACTGCTGTCTATAAATATTCCACTTAGTAAATTTCATCCGTTGGTGGTATATTAATTTTTCTTTTAAATCTGAATTACTTTGACGCAGAAGGGGAAAAAAAAAAAAAAAGGAGCAGGGAAAAAAAAGGACTTTTTTTTTTTTTTTTTTTTTTTTTTTTTTAAAAGAGTCCGGGTCTTTTCAGAAGTAGAATTTGCTTGGCATTTCTACCTCCCCTACCTCCCTCCCCCCCCCCCCAAAAAATTAAAATCAGAAAAGTGAAAGGTTAGCAAGGGCTCATAAGAAGGAGGAATCAGATTAAATGGTCATATATCCTGCATTCATCCTCTCTCTTTTTGCCATTCCCCACCGAACGAGATGGGAGTTGGAGAAGGCTCACAGCTGAAATAGACGCTGCTGCATTTTGACAGCAGATATTTTCCAGTTTGCCATCCAAGGACCCTACGTCTGCATTTGCCTTGCTTGATTCTTCTACTTAGCAATGCTGCTCATGCAGAGAATCATCTTTAAAAAGCAGACAGATAGGACTCCCGCTCCCTTGCAAACTTTTCATAATTGCCAATGCAATTTCTGATTTAAATTCCTATTGACTGAGAAATCAATTGCATTTAAGACAATCGTGGCTTCTGTTTTTATCATTATTCCAAAAAAACAAAAACCAGAAAAGGAAAAAGAAAAAAAAAAAGCAATTATACATGTGAAGGCAGTCCTAGCCTTCAGCTCTCAAGCAACCAAAAAAGTAAAAAAGATCACCAAATTAACTCAGAGAAGTTCTATGTATATTCAAGCAACAATTTCCCCGCCCCCCCAATATTAACCTCAGAGCAAATATTTCAAATTTGATCACTTTTAAAAAGACTTAACCCTGAAGGATGGACTCTCCAGTTTGCAGAAAAGAGACGGATGGATTCCAATAACCAAGCTTAAAAAAAAAAAAAAAAGGAGAGAGAGACAAGGGAGTGCCTATAAATCCTTTAAAATAATTGAAGAGTCAGCGTGCAAAGGGGAAGTCTTCGGCCAATAAAGACGACCTCTTTTTCTAACAACTTTATGGACACTTTGGGTTTGCTCAGACAATGTTAACACTATGAAATATTAGCCGTAATGTTGCGAGCGACGGTGGTAAAGTCTCCATCAGGCTCTTGAGTCACTTAAATCAAGCAGTGGGAAAGTGAAAGCCCATTTTTACACATCATAACACTGGGGAGAGAAGAGTGGAACACACACATGCGCACGCACACATACACACCCACCCACCCACCCTCCCCACCGTGAAACACAAAACTATGAGATTTTATTCAACAAGAGGTTACACCCAATAAAAAGCCTTCACAGCAGTGATTCTGAAGTAGGAAAGACGACTAACTTCACCCAACTCCCATCATCGCACACGTATACCCTGGACCAAACCATGCCTGTGCTTTCCTTTTAGATGTGGTGCTCTCATCTTTGGAAAACCATTGCTTCCGAACTACAGAATCAAATCCAAGAAGATACTAAATAAAAATAGGGTTGGTACCTTTGCTTAGTTGCAAGTGTTATGAGGTTGTTTGTTTGTTTGAATACACAAAGGCAAATATTCAGTATAAGCACAGAGCACATTTGATGCATATCATTTTCAAGCCCATCCTAATTGACCTCTTTGTGGGGGTTTTATACAGCAGCCTCTCCATCCTAGTAATTCAGGCAGAGTGATTAAAAGAAGACAGCACCAGTCCACACCTAGATCTGCTCTTCGTTTTCACTGCCACACTTTGACCTACCATCCTCCCTGGATTTTAATTAGGGGATAAAAATTAAAATACCTCATCACTATGGATATGCAAATATCCCCATCTTGTTATGATTCCATAGCATCCAAGATTGCCTCCATGTATTATACTGGTGGGGGTGTTGGAACTGAGTAGGGTTTTTGTTGCTTTTGGGGGGAGGAATAGAGAGGGGGATTTCTGTATTTCCATTTGGTCTAATCAACAAGGAATCACCAACCTGCAACTTTGTGACTGCTTCAATTTTGATTTCAGACCAGAGCAGAGCAGAGATTGATTGGGGACTGTGGTGAAAAGCAACATCTGATAGACAATATTCTCAACACCCAAAATAATTAAGAGAAAGGAGGTGGGGACAGAGAAGAAAAACAGAGAGAAGTATTTTTCTTGGCTAAGGGAAAATAAAAGGAGATAGGAAGAAAAGAGACTCAACAGATTTCTAAAGCATCTATGACATTTTATATATATGTTTCCCTTGCATTACATCACAGGATCCTTTGCATTATAGACACTACTGTACATACAGGATCCATTACATTACAGAAACCAGATAATGAATGGCTTCTCAATAAGGTCAGACATTGGCAATGCAGCCTTAAGGACTTCAGAGACTTGAATGGCACTGCTAGGTGCTTTGTCTAGGTTACAAGCTGCACAAACACCATTTAACAAAGGGCCTCCTTAGTCATTTTATATATATTGCAAGAGTCAAGTAATCACATTTTCAATCAGCTGTTCATACTATGAGGCTTTATATATATTTAAAAAAAAAAACAGACAGACATTCTGGTTTCCGAAAGCTGTTCCCCTTTTTATGTGTAACTATCAATGTATATCAACTGGGCGTGCAATCATATTTATTGTCACTTTCGCTCATGTCATGCCCTTGCTTATATGGTTTAGATATGAATTATTGACTGTTACAGTCCTTGTTGTAAAAGGGGAGGAAAAAAAAGTCCAGTAGTTTTCAGGGTGTTAAAGTGAAGCAGTTAGATCAGAACACAGACCTGCAAACTGCCAATACAGTTGCATTTTCTTGGAACTTGCAGCTTAAGTACAGATTTAACCATTCTGGGAGAGAAAAAAATTAAGATTTCAATATATAAATAAATAAATGTTGGATGTTGCTAAATGTCCTTCCCTGAGCATCTGTTGTTTAAGATCACCCTTGATTGATGACTGCTATTTTTTAATTGTTGCTTTTAAAATTTAAATACCCCCCTGGGATATGTTATAAGTGTGTTAGTACATGGTAGGAGGTCTGGAAAGTGGGGAACAGCAGAATGAGTGCTCTCATATTGGTAGCTCCTTTATATCCCAAGAACACCCCATGTCATAAAAAAGCAGTGTCCAAAAAGTAACCAACAATCTAATACAGAGGTTTCCACTAAAGGCACTTGACTGTACGCTCTGTGTTAGCTGGCCCCTGTGACTGGCAGACACGGGAATATTAACCCTTTAAAAAAAAGGAAAGGAAAGGCAAAGAAAGAGTAAAAACAAATTCATGAGCACAATATTATTATTATTACTACTATTATTTAAAGGAGAAAATGAAAACAGTCTCTAGGATAGATGGCTTTTTTAAATTCATATTCAGAATATTTTTCCAAGAAATGTCATATTTTAATACAGTAACAAGAGAGTCAATGTTTTAGAGCAAAAAATGCTGTATGACTGAAATTCAACTGTACTAGTTTTCCCTGTAAGACGTACCATATTACGACATTCTATTGCCACAAGTGTAAAATATTTGGGATGGGGGCTTCACTTTTTAAAAAAATATTTTTTAATTATAAAAATTTGAA